TCTACCTATCAGATAAAATACACAAATAATTAGGATCGGCAAAGGTAACGGATCGTCCATATTAGATAAATTTTTAATGAGCTAGTATGTAATTCTGAAAAAAACCAATGATTCCTGATAACTTTAATAACATGTACCCATAGCAGATCGACAATCAACACCAGAGAGATTTTGAAATACGTATAAAAACAGCTCGAATTCGCATAGTTTTTCTACTTCATAACTATAACATTCAAATAAATACAATAAAAATTTGTTAAATCAATCAAACCCACGTTAATAAATAAATCATATTAAATATCATTCTTACTTTAATAAAATCAAAGGTATGTAGGATGCTTGTTCCCGCGGATTATAAAAAACCATCGTACTAATTGATATCATTTTTAGATGACGCCAACTGAATTTCTCGAAACCCTCGCAAAAATGCCATTAGAGAATTATTTTATTACAATTCCTATCTTGATCCTCATCGTAACTTTTATATTTGGAGAAAAATTCTTCATATACCTATTCATTACCGTTGCATGCTTTGTTTTCTACATATTTAAACAACGGATTGATATGGATCTTGATTTATTGAAGGAGAAACAAAAAAACGAATCTAAAAAAATTGATAATAAATTTGAAGAAATTAATAACAAAATTGATGAGCTTTATAATAAAATTGAAGAATTTAATAATAAAATAGATGAACTTGCCGAAAAAATTTCTTTGCTCAGTGAAGAGATTCAACAAAGATTCCAGGAAGAAGATACCCTAACTAATTATTCAAGAAATCTTTCAAGTAATAATTCAAGCAATTTTTCAAGTAGTTCTCGAGGTAAGATTATTTCAACGTATAAATATCTGCAACTTTGATGAGAGACTCATAGTAAATTAAATATTTTCGTATCATACACTCACCTGCCAAAAGTATCCGGACAAAATGTAGATCATGTAAATTTCCGTGACATTTCTGGGTGTTTTACACAAAAATACTCGAAAACTAGCGAGAAAACGTGGCTTTTTGTCCTAAGTAACTGCACTTCAAATGTTCGAAATTGCATATTTCCATTAATATTTATAATCTAATAAAATATAGTTTTTGGGTGATATGTAAATTCTTAAAATCGTTTAAAAATGTTGGTTCCCAAGACTTTTTTTTGTCCCATAAAATATCCCACATAATAATAAAAAGTCTGAAAACTCCATAAAAGAATTTAAAATATAATGAACAAAATAAAAAAAAGATGATTAAAATTCGTCAGAAATTGATAGAGTTGCATGTATTAAGAAAATTTCCAAAAATTTTTCAAAAATCGAAACAAT